AGGTAATAAGTGTATTGACTGCTTAAGACACATATCTCTAAAATGGAAAATAAAGATAAAGAGGACAGTGGCCATCTGCAGAAGTGGACCAGTCCTACTGCTCCCCCTTCAGAGAACTTATGTCCTATCAACAAGAACACTATGATTTTCTTATCACAGAAGAACCAGTTGAAAACTGTGAAGAACATTTATGTACATGCTCATCAACTGTTCCACATTTAAAAGCTGTCTACATAACCATCAGCAAGTCTAACTAGTTTTCTGGTGGCTCGCAGCATAAAGCTCCAAGTTAAAAAGAGTGTGAGAAGTATATAAGACATAAATAGTGCTAGTTTGATGCACTAATGTTGGTTCAAAAGAACTCAACACCTAGGAAGTGCTTGCTGAAATGGTGGGGTGGCTGCAGAGGGTCATGGCAAGTTGGCCTCTCTAGAGATGGTCCAATACTGAAAGCAGCCCAGAGTTTCCCTCCTACTCACATTCTCCTGAGAGGCTGTGTATAGAAGTGTACGCAAAAGCGTACAGTCTAGCATGGAGCAGACATCACAGAATCACAGAAAGGTTGAGGTTGGAAGGGATCATCTAGTCCAACTCTCCAGCTCAAGCAAGGACACCTAGAACACGGGGCACAGAGTGGCATCCAGGCGGGTTTGGAAGATCTCCAGAGAAGGAGACTCCACAGCCTCCCTGGGCAGCCTGTTCCAGGGCTCTGTCACCCTCACAGTGAAGAAGTTCCTCCTCCCATGGAGATGGAACTGCCTGGTTTTGACTTGTACCCACTGCCTCTTCTCCTGGCAGCGGCCACCACCAAGAAGAGGTTGGCCCCATCCTCCCTACATTCTCCCCTCAGGTACTTTTACATATTGATCAGATCTCCTCTCACTCTTCTCCAGGCTAAACAGGCCCAGCTCGCTTAGTCTCTCCTGAAGTCTTTCCTTCCTTAGTATTTCCTAGACATCTCAAACTAGCACTCAACTTTATTCCAAATTAAGCACAGAAGTTCCTAATGGAAGCACATATTATTCCTCAAAGTCTAAGGAGTAAAGCACGCATTGCACTCACACAGCTGTGGCAGTAGCTTTCTGACAGTACTACAGTCCTACTAAATTTATACGAATCAGACAGCTGTTTTCTTGCAGAGTAGGGGTCTGTAACACTGGCAAAAGAGCATTATGGGCAAGCAGAAATTTAAAAAAAAAAAAAAAAAACCTGTTTCATCAAGGAATTTGGAAGGGTTGACTCTACAGCAACACAAGTGTTTTCTCCTACTATGCGTACAAGAAGCATTATTTTACTGCACTCAAGTGTCACTTTGAAATGGACTCTTCATCCCTGAAATACAAAACTGGGGACATTTCCTCAGACTCCTTTCCTTTTTCTTAATCTGCTGTGCTCTATATTGGGTCATTTGGACTATACACTTTGGTGGAGGGCATCCTTCTCCTGTGAATCTGTGAATCAAAACGCATTCTCCAGTGGTTATCTGGAGGTATAATTTGCCCCCTAACGCTCTTCAATCTTTCTTGCTGACACATTCAAGGATGCTTAACTCCCACAAGAAAAAATGCACATTAATCATCAAAAATATGTCCTTACCTGCCTTCTCAAAATGAAAATGGATATTCTTCAATAAATTATCTGAGCTTTGCTGAAAACCCTGAGGAACATGCACTTTTGTAAACAATTTTGAAACTGAAAAATTTATAAATAAAAAAGTCCTGATAGATTCAGGCCAGACAAATCCTGCAAGATGCTGAACCTTTCTATGCAGGCCTTCCCCTGCTCCCACCACTAGGGATGGCACTAGGGATCAGTGGCACTCAGCAGTTGGCTGGATGCAACCTGGGGAATTACTCAACACCTTCTGCACATGGTGAAGAAGTGATTGACTTCTTCACTTAACACTTCTGTAAGTGATACTATACTGTGGAAATAGCACCAGAGCCAACACTTTCACCCATCCATGCTAAATTAAACACCCAGACTTGTAAAACAAGTCCAATTCGCACGAAGTTATGGGAAACCCTAATTCATGAAAATTGGATGCGGCTGAAAGATTTAAGACACAGTATCTTGTTACTCTACAAGATTTTGATTCCGTGCTGCATTTTATGCATCTCCTGAACATGAAAATAGCTGTCTTGGGGAGCAGACAGCATGCGAACAACGCAGAGAAAAGACCTCAGAACCCCTCTGTATTTCTAGATGCATATTTAGATACATATTTCTAGTATAAAAAGAAGACGGTGCTAAAGACAGTGCAATGACTTCCAGAGTTCGCTTTCCCTCTCCCTGGTGCACAGCACTGTTCTGCAATCACTCGTGGAGAAGAGGTGGCACCGTGGGGCCTTCCCATCCTCATACTCTCTGTAAACATACAGGATCCACTGAGAATTCACGTTTAATCCAAAGTATTTATCCCCCCCCCCCCGCCAAAAAAAGGCAAACATTTAGCTTAATTTCTTAATTTTAAGGAGATAAAAATCACTTTGGCATGCTGAGATACTCCCATACCTATTGAATACAACATCTAAGTTCTCCAGACACGCAAACTTTGTTTTACATTAGGGTGAATATCTAGCTTTCAATTCAATGTACTAAAAAAAAAAAAAAAAAAAAAAAAAAAAAAAAAATCCTAGACTATATTATGGCAACCCCTCTCAAAATTCAGAAGCATGAAAAAGTAATACAGATTTCAGTGTATGTTCAAAACTTCCAGATACACTGCATCTCCACATCTCTGTATCTCCCACTGGGCAATATCCTCAGTTTCCTGTTCACTCTGCTAGACCAACATGAAAGAAATTATAGTTAAAATAAAAAATAGCAAATTACATTCTGTCAGTGTAACTTAAACGAATAGAAGGTTCCAAAAGCATCAACATCTAGCTATGGTTAAGAATATTAAAGGAGATGGAAAACGAGAGTAAATTTTATCAGCATTTTATCTCACTGTAAAATGGTTTATATCAGCTTCTAGTGCATGCACATCAGAGATGATAAATAGCTTTCTCCCCTCTCCGTATCCATTCTAAAGAGTTTTTAACTCAAATACAGCTACTTGATGTTCAAGGCTAATAGAATTTTAACTAATATATCTACAAGGAGCAACTAAGAAAATCCACTCTTGATTGACCATAATTTTTATGATTCAAAAAAAAAAAAAAAAAAATAGAATAAGCTGGCAAAACACACAAAAAAAAATGCAAGGTGGCTGGGGGCAAGGAGGACTCCTTGGCCACCAGCTTTCCATCACGCTCAAGTCATTTCTCCAGCCCTTTTACAATAATCCCATTTCAGGGGCTGGTTAAACACCTAGAGATAGTTACTGTACTGGAATTCTGTTGCTATCCAAATTGTTTGGAAGAGGCCACTTTCTCTGAAAAGCTGTCACAATTAAAGATAGGTGTTCTGCATCTTTGCTTTGTGGGTCACTAATTCACAGGTCCAAGCAGGGCGGCACCAACACCAGCTGCTACACAAGATCTATGTGAGCTGGAAAGGGGAGAAGACGCCCAACCTACTACGATGACAGAGGGCAAGACACAACCCAGAGCAGTTTCTGCAGAAGCAGAAAGCTGACACCTTCTCCCCAAGCCTTTTACCTGAAAAGTCAATATTAGACGGAAATTTAACTGCGGATAATGCTTTTTAGTGTTAAAATTTTACACAGCCTTATATTCTCGCTCATAAAACATTCAACATTTGCAGCAACAACAAAAATTACTCTGCAGTTTCAACAAGGCTGCCGTTTGCCATGCCACCTTGAAAGTAAATTTACTGAATCAACGATTATTAAAAATCTTGGGGAATTCAGGTCTTACTTTCATGATATACTATCCAGCAGTAATGCCCATTCGATTGAGGCCAAATTTCTTGCATGGGGACAGCGTGATTATTTCATGAATCACCGTTGACCTTTAGAAGATACTAGGAAAAGCCGGCATGTTCATTCCCTTCCATTGATTTTCCAATTTTGAGTAAATTGGTTTAATCTGGGGAATGGTTACCTATTAAGAATAAAAATACCTAAACTGACTTTAGAAAATGGTATAAAGCTTTTGAACTTGAGCAGTGAAGTTGGAAGGGAAACTTGGGGCATAAAGGCAGTGATTTTATATCTGTCTTCATTTGGGCAAGATTCTGTAGCCACCCAGACAAGAATGAAAGAATTGTATGAATTTAAAAGACAGATCTACAAGCCAATACCATGGTTTTACTAGAATGTGTATCTGTTTTACCCACTGAATGTCTCCTGTTGGAAAAGCTTGTAGAAAAGATAAAGTCACATGGAATCAGAAGTGGCATTGGCATCACTTCCACTTGGCTAAAATGAGAAACAGGTGCTGAAGGTTGAGAATATTGCGTATTTCTATATCTAACGTTTAAAGGATAAGTTCAGTAAATCATCACATGCAGTCAGTTGCAGCTTGCAAAATGCAAGGGTTATGGGAGAAATGTTAAGATCTTTGGATTTGCTTGAAGGAGTCTGTAAGAAGAGAACTTGGTCACCATCAGGGACCTAAGAGCATATTGGTTTCCATCACCCAAGGAAACTGTTAATTCACAGAGATATTGTTTAAGAAGTCATCGTTATGTCAACGTATGTATTCCACAGAAAAGGAAATTCCAGAGATGCATTTAAAGCACCAAATGGGAATAGCAGAAACTCACGACAGGCTGTACACACAAGTATTTTCTTGTTTGCTTCCAAATAGTTAATTGATAACTCTAGGTCTACTTCCATTCCAGAGATCTTTGCCCTCAGCACTCAACACGAGAAGTCTTGTCCAGAAAAGATGAACTACCAGATTTATAATGTCAGAAGTCATGGCTGATGACTTCTTATACCAAAATAAGGAAGACGGCACTATGTAAAGACTGGACAAAATTTCGCACCTGACCCGCATCTCTCAGACACTCTGAAACCTGGTCCCAGTTGATGAACATAAGCACAGACATTGAGCTACCAGGCTGAAAACAGGAAAGGCTTCTCTTACCTCACGATCCAACAGTACTGGTGACACCACTGTGACGATGTCCCCCTTCTCCGGGTCAATATAGAACATGTTTGGGGACGGTTTGGTGGGCGTCTGTTTAAGGATGTTATAGCGCAGGAGAGCGTTGTCCGTGTTGGCGTCGTCAGCATCGAACGCTGTCATCCGCATCACCGTCGTTCCTACAGGAAACGTGGAAAGACAAGACAGCACAATGCAATTAGGGAGGACAAGTAAAATGATTCTGCTTTCGCATGCGAGAACCACGTGGATACAAAACACAAATTATCTCAGTGAGACCACTACGTAATTTCACTTCATAGTTAATCTGTAATTGGATTTGTCTTGTTTTTCCTTGCTGCTGAGCCAACAACACAGGATGTGTTTCTGGTCGGCAGCAGACAAATGACTCCAACACTAGTCCCCCATATCTATAAGCTTTGCTACTTTAATGGCTTTTCACTAGATGAACTATAGATTTATCTTCCACACTTTGATTTCTACTGGTAGAGAGTCCCCAGGATAAAGATGTTAAAGTAAGGGAAAGGCTTCTGTTTTAAAGTTTCAGAATTCATTGGGCATTACAAATCATTTGTCAGACAAATTCAATCATGACTAAATCCTATATTATTCTAATTTCGATTTAATTATCTTACTGTATCATTCTCAAAACAAAAAGACTGTAGTGCTAGACTGTATCGTTAGAATGGGGAAATTGCTTCAGAGATGAAGATCCTGGAGCATACAGAACACGCTATAGGGTAAAAGCTGTTGATTGCACAGCATCTTAAGTGAGGTACAGAGGAAAAAAGACTCCCATCCTCTTCAACATCGCATTAACAGGGAGGACTGAGGTGCTGCTAATTCTCCTGTTCACTGGTGCAGCACGTACTCCTGCATCGTCTGCCTCAGACGGGGCTCTGCCAGCCTCCCGTGGGCCTATAAAATTCTACCATAGCGCTTTTTATTTATTTTGTACAGTACAGAGGGAAGCCAAGAAAGGAATTAATCAGACACCTGGGCTTAGCCCTGAGATATTCACTCTCAGATCACTGCAGTTTCTTACTCTGTTTATTTTCAGGTGTGTATATAGGCATTATTGTAAAGACAATCTAATTAAAAATAGTAAAATATTTCTGGTAAAATTAGCCCGAGCAAACAATAAAATCCTGTCAAATAAGAAAAAAAGTCACAATAAAATCAACAAATTAGTTTCCATGCTGAATCAAAATAAAATAAGAAATTAATGCAAAAAGCGTTAGCAAACCATGTTCAAATTCTAATTGGGAATCCAAGTATATGTTCTTTTGCCTAAAATCCCAACAAAACATAATTTAGCGAAGCCCATCAAATACGCAATTTGCATTTAAGTATCTTAATACTAAAACCAAATTAATTAATGTGTGAACCGCAACCTCAAAGTCGATTAATATTTTTTTTCTGCTGGAGTTCAGTTCTTCCATGGCGGCTAACCCTTTTATTTCTCCATAGAGTCTCAATAGGCAAGTATTACTTTAAAACAGCCCCGTGAAACACATTTCAAACACATTTCCACTTCACAACAGGTCTGTACGACCACACAAGCTGTTCTCCAGCGCCCGCCTCGCCCTCCACGGCCAGAAAGCTACAAGGAATTAAAGCCTTCTGCTACAAAGCCAAAGCCAATATTACACTGACACCGCCTGCAGAACAGAAAGAGAGATCAGTCATCTGCAATGATAAACAGCGAGTTTCTTCCCGAAGGTCTTTGAGCACAGACAACTTAAGAACCAAACAAAAATGGAATATTGCTGAAAAAAAATGGAAACAAAAACATCTTCATTTATAGGCTGACATAACTGCCTGGCTCCCTCTTAGACAAACACAAAACTCACTTGTTTAGATGTTTCCTCTTTTTTTCCCCCCTTGTGTTATACATCTAAGAGTACAAAGAATTGCCGCGTGTTGTGGTGACCTTGAGTCGAAGCTCTTGGAGGTTTTACTGCACTGCTACTTGACGCAGAGTTACCCCCTTGAGAAATGTAACAGACATCTGACAGCACGTTGGTTTTATTCACCAGTGATTAAAGGTCAGACAGCTCAAAAAGCAGCTTACCACTGGATGCCACGCCATGTTTTTCAATATTACAGGATGATCCTAGCCCTGGTATTTCACCTGCTTTGTCTGAGACTTCTTCCAAAGAAAAATAGTGGCTTTCTAAAGAATGAAGATTCCCTCTTCACAAATGCAAAGAACTTAAAATGTGCAATGCTAGTTTAGGTGCTTACTGTATTTGAGAAAGATCATTTATATTTGTGTTAGATAATGTGGGTGATGAAATGCTCTGAAGCTACATGAATTCCATGAAATAAGAATCAAGGTAAACCTTGAAGGGATCACAAAGCTACTGAAATTCAACTGAAAATCAATGGGAAGTTAGTACGTAATCCTTCCTTGAAAACCACAATTTAATGGGATGCCATGGTCTTTAAGTATATCTGTATTTTAAATGAACATAAATTCCAGCATTTTTAATCTCCTAGATGCTCAACAAAGATTTAAAATCTCACTGAAATATATTCATTGAAATATTCTCCTGCTGCAGTCTTATTTATACAGTGGTCCTAGAGAGGTCTACCGCAGTATTTCTCCCAGTAAGCCTTTGGAAGGCACATACAGATGTTAAGATCTGATCTGACGTAAATCTCCGGATCTCTAGTTGCTGTGGCACAAAACAGACTCCACACAGAGGCTGAATCTGACTGGTTTGTCAGCTGCAGGTCCTCAGCCTTGCTGGTCACCAGCCGTTATCTCGCTCTGCACAACCATTTCTCCTGTGCAAACCCGCACAAAACTCCAGCAGCGAGTGCAGAAGAGCAGAATTTTATGTTCGGATCACAGAGAGATGTTGGCAGGAGGAGAGCTATCAGGAATTAGACTTTTCGGTTTCTGCATTGCCTTTGCTGAAGGTTTTGGGATATTGGTACAAGACTGTATCTGTAATTTGTTCACAAACATCAACACACAGAACTGTAACCCTTTAACCATCACCTATATGTTTAAATTGCTAAAACACCCAGAGATGCTGCTGAATATCCCTGGTACGAATGAGGAAATGAGGAAAGAAAAGGTTTGCTGAACTCGGTGGGTGCTGGGCTGGGAACGGCTCGTGTTCAGAAAGACATTGGCTCCTGCTCTCGTGCTCACCAACAAGACCAGCGTGAGAGGTCAGCACAACAAGTAGTGCTCGGGCTATGTCCTATATCCTATTCCATTTGAAAAGATCCCTACATTTATTTTAAAAAATCGATAATTTGCATTTGGTGCCTCAAAATTCACGACGGATTTAAACCAGGAGCTAAAACATCTTCCAAGCAGCTTTTGTAGGGGTCCAGGGCCTGTATTTCCGACTGGCCCACCCTTGTTAAATGATTGCAGAATGTACCCACATTGAGTGAGTCTGGGGTGGGCCCCCCTCTAAAGAAGATGCTTAGAGATCCATTTCCTAAAAATGCAGCAAGTGGCACAAACTTATATTTGAAAAGGCTTTACAGCACAGACTCCATTCCAAAAGAGTTTAATTCAAGCTGCATACTTCCTCAGTATTACTCCTTCATCATAAAGTTTTATTCTTCATAAAAGATTCATTTCCCCAGACCCATAAACTGACTACTTCTAATTCAGTGTCATTTTATAAATACTTCCATTCCTGGCATCAATCAAACGCAGCTGGCTTTCAAGCCACAAAACAACAGCTTGCTACATTATCATGTTAAACAATATATATTAACTTATCAAGCTGAGGAACAAATGTCTGCAAAATCAGCAACTTTATAGTTGTGCCACTGATGTGCAGACTCACAGCGAAGGCAGCGCAAAGCCTCGGCGCGTTTCAATATTCATGCTTTATTGTCACACCTTCTGGGCAGGTCTGCTGTTAGCCTAATCAGTCAAACCCTCTGCTCGCACCTCCCCGAGCCCCTCATCGATCAGAGATCTATTGCCCTCGCCAGGTTGCTGCTCCGACGGCTGCAGCTATCAATCTGCTGATTGCTCATTTGGCCTATACGTTGCCTGGGAAGTATTGGCAAATAAGTCCCCTCGGGCCCGAGACATAAAGCACAACGCCCACACAGATCTGTGGGGATGCAGCAGATGGTTTCTTGGGAAAAGCTCTTTGGCATTTTGTTATTTACCTCTTAATAACCTTTCTATCCTTTTCTCTCTCTCCTTTATTTTTTTTTTTTTTTTTTTTGGGGCTGTCAAGATGCTAAAACAACATGGGGAATGGTTCAGCTGATGGATGAGATCGATTACTACAGAAGGCTCCTCTTCCTTGACTTATGATTTTCATTTTTGCGTTCAGCTGCCCAGTGGGCAGCCCCTATTCTGCCCTTCATCCCTCCCAGCTGGCCAAGGGTGGCTCTTGTCCTGCACGACTGAATGCTGCGTTGAGCTCAGGTCCCTGCTTGAAAAAACGACTCCAAATTGGGATGGTAACCTTAAAACAATACTGTCCCTTTGAAGACTGAATAATTTGAAGTTCACAAGAGCTGCAGTGCTCAGAACATTCAATCTGAAGTTTACTCATATTGTTGACCTACAGAATTAGATCTCAGCTTTAAAATCTCATTTTTAGCCTCCTTATTTCTACTTTTCCCATCTCTCAAGTACTAAATAATAAGTTTCTTCCCAAAATATCTTCCAGAGACATTAAGTATAAGATGAAACAGATATTGTCATCAAAAAATCATTGAGGTCTTTCACAGATTATATGTGACCACAGAAGAATTTGCAAGGAAACATGGGGCTCAACTTTCCCTCTGAGCCCAGGGAAACTGTGATTTGAATTCTCTTTAATAGATTCTCAACTAAACATGTAATATCTGGACTATTATTTAGCAGATATTGAACATGACCAGAGTAGATCATAATGCAGAATCCAAATCTCTTTCCCACTCTCATTCACATACATTGTTCCAGCAATGGAAGAGGCCTAAATACGGACATAAATTATTCTTACTCCCTTCTTCAGGGTAGGTTACACTGTTGAGATGGTTTAAAAATGATTTGGCATAATGAGAGTTTCACCCATAGCTTCTTGCTGTTTAAGTCAGATCTAAACTGATAAATAGGCCCATTACATCTAATGTGCAAGTAAAACCGTAGCTTTTCCCTCAGCTGGTGCAGGGTCTTTAGTTT